ACCTGCCTCGATGAAGAACCCCTGGAATGACGAACAAATTCGAGCTTACGAGCTTAGAGGGCATCAGTTAATCGCTCGGAGGCCTTCATTGCACCTCGTAGGCCTCTCCAGGACGGCACGGCAGCTAACTGGTCCGCTGGGCATAACGGTGGGAAGGTTCTTTAGTTCAGTTGGGTTGCTCTTGCATTGAGAACAGGTCTGAGCCGCTTTTATTGACAAACGAATACTTCATTGGGAACTTGCATACCAAATCTCAACAGGTAAGAGTTGGATCTGTGACTGGTCATTTGAAACCTCCCCTACTGACCTATGCCTGAATCTACTTTTAGGCCTTTAGCCAGCAGGATGGATGCTCCATTGACGTGATACGGTTCAAGGGAAATCCTACCCCTAGAAATATCGTTGGAAGGCGCTGAACTAGACTGAAAAATTTAAACCAACCTTCCGGAACAGTTTGTTCCACTGTGAAGCTGTGCTTTTCCATCTGTGGTGTGTACGTTCCCAGACTGTGGACAGACTTTGATAGATTGACGTGCATGCGGTTAACCTTATGGATATACCTTAATCAAAAACGAGTCAATCAGTTGAGCAGTCAGGAGGTTCTGCATCCTACCTCAAGTCTTTTATGCTTTCCTTTTGTACAAAGAACTCTATACGAATACTGTATTGTGTTCCTTCTTTGACGCAGAACTTTGTTTTTTGTAGAGCACCTCAAAAGACCAGTAATTCCAATGCAATCGACACTTCCACTGTAGAATAGCTTGGCCCATAGACGGAAATATCATTCAAGCGATTCATCACAAGTTTATCCCGTTATTAGATTTCCTTACAAAAGACGAACTCAAGCTACTCAGGTCTCGGAAGTGAAAGTGCCAGAGCGCGGGTTCGTGACCCGTCCGAGGCTAAAGTTTTGCCCAGTAACTCGTCAATCTTGTGGGACTCATCTTGTGGGACACAGATTTTATCGGAAACAAACCTATTGGATTCATGTCCATTTTCAAAGGTTCACGACCTTCTGCAAGGAGACTCATTGACGTTATGGTAAGAATCCCTTTCCCCAAACTGCTTTTCATTTCCAAAGGCTGTAATGATGGAGTTATCGGCACTGCAGCAGGTCGCTGTGTATCTCCTGATTCTTCTTCTCCCAATACCTCCTTTTCATCCTAAATTGGTCACAGGTAAATGTTGTCTTTTTGATTTGATAACTGGGACACATGAAGCAACTACAGCTATATCCTTGAATAAGCATACTCCTATCTGGGAAGCTTGACCGATCTGCTGCCTCATCGAGTTGGCGGCTCCAAACTATGTGGGATGCTCGGATCCTAATTCCTTCCGAAACGTATCATGGGAGGTATTGCATTCCCCACGAGGTGCTCTACTTCCAGGGATCCAGGGACTACTTGGTCAGAAAAGCCAGAAATCAGCTACGTTCTGACGGTAAGGCTTCCAAAAATGACCCTAACAGACTCCAGCAGAGGATGTGATCCGAATAATTGCGGTATCAACCCTCCAAAGATTAAACCTCCATACTCACCTACACCGACCGAAATCAACTGCAGAAACTTATCTCAGTTGTTTTCAGTACTCCTCGTTGAGGATTCCTTTGCTAGCGGACCTTGAACATGGCCCCTTCCACCAGTTTTCGGGAGCTATTACTTCTATCGTCGTACCATGGTGTAATATGCCATATGGAAAGTTAGATGATGTTTAAAACTATGGCTTGACCATCTCATCCACATCCTTTCCTTCAGATTACTTCACACTGAGGCCATCTCTATTAAAGGCACAGTTCACGATAAATTTCCCCCACTCCCCCGGCTCCCGAGATTCCCCCACCCCCCATCCACCG